TGGCAGATCCGCTGCCGGTGGTGGATCCATCTCCATCCCTTAGGATGCTTTAGTGACTGCTCCACACGGCTCGTTGCTTCTGCAAATTGTCGCACATTCTTAAGGGAGATTCGGCAGGGAGAGACACTCTCCTCCAAGTCCAACTATCCCAAGACCTGAAACTGAAACTGAATCCGCCCTTGGCGCTCGTTATGTGGGCGGATGCGTCTACATCTCTCTGTCTGTCCGTTCCTCTGTGTGCACGTCTTCTGGGAGTCGGTCGGAGCATGAGGCAGGGGGGGTGGCAGGGGGGCAGGCAGGGAGGCAGCATTTTGCATTGGAATTTGCTTTGCCAAATGCCGCCATTTAGGGTTGTGCCAATAAAAAAATGATATTTATGGATGTAACGGCCGTTTTGTGTGTACGCCTTCCCTCACCCACACCTACACCCACACCCGCACCCTCACCCGCTCCGGCCACATCCCCTGACACCCACGAGCCCGACAAGCCCACCAGCCACAAGACACACAAACGATGGCCGAGCACAGTGGGCGAAATCAATGCACTCACTGACAGAAAGGCAACGAATCGGGGTCGAAACTGTTGGCTCGGAGTCGCCTTTTATGACTATTATATATGCCGAATGCATTATAATAGATCAAGAGGGTAGACAAAGGCATCTGTTTGCCCGAAATAAAATACAATACTATTATTATTTTCGTTTGCTTAAACGCTTTTTAAATAGAATTCAAAATATAATATTGGCTTGAGCTGAGCTGAATGATAATGCTAGTTCGAGATAGGAAGTTGGGAAGAATTGTTTGTTGAATTTAATGTTTGGTACTAGCAGGAGATAGAATCTATATATAGATTTCTTTGATTTACAATCCTACATTAGAATTAATACTTGTAGCCAGAGCACAAGGCTTTCCTGCTGGAATACGTACACTTCCCACTTCCGATCCATAATATTAAATTTCGAGTTCTGCAAATGAAAATTCAATGCGAAGCAGCTGTAGTCCGTTGTGTTGCCACTGTGTCCGGGGGTTGCCTGTGCACACAAATGAAATCTCACAGGCATAACGAGCTCATGACTCTCTGCTGGCAAGGGTTGGGCACGGAACGGCTCGGCTCGGCACTGCACGGCCCAGGACTCGGGACTCGCACACAGAGACACATAGGCAAATGTACTCGTATAAACTCGTCCATGTATAGTGGCTGAGACTTCGGAGGCACATGCACACACACACACACACACACACATACACATACACATAGAAAAATATGGCACGTACTCCCCGAAAGCCATAAGTTTACGTTTTATATCGGGCAAACTGTGCGATATTATAAATTTTGAATTTTATCTCAGGCATTAGATTGCCAGAGAGCTGCCTGGTTGGCTCGCCCCGACTCGTGTGGTACTCCGGTTCGGGTGGCGCCTCGAGCCGCCCCCTTCTCGGTTCGGATTAAATGAAAGGACGTGCTCCTGAGCGTAAGTAGGGGCTGGGACAGACGTCGGTAGGGAAGGAAGGACGGAAGGAGTGGTTGGGGCAGGGTAATGGATGCCAACAAAGGGTGATTATCGCGATTGGCGAAATAGTTGCATGGGCACAAGGGGCAGGGCAGGACGGGGATGGGGATGGGGAATGCTAATGCCAGGTATCTGGGAACTTTGTGCGTAGTCGTAACTTATTAAACTTACTGTTCTCCCCGTTCTATATCTCTCTCTCTCTCTCTCTGTCTTTTTGGCTGTCTATTTCCAGGACTCGGAGCAGACACCAACTGCCAGGAGTGAAGGTGGACAGCGAAGGACTCAGAGCACGTCTTATGTGACAAGTGCTGGCTAAACGTCTGAGGTTGTTGCAGTAATTTTCGATTCTCCTCCCCATTCTCGTCACCTTCCCCTTGGCACAGGAACAACTGAAAACTCTGAAGGGACCAAAACACCAACCACCGCGAACAGTGTACAGGCACAGGAGCAGGAGCAGTAGCAGGGGACGACCGGAAGTCCCCTGGCCGTGGGCAGAGGAAAACGCTTGTAAAACGAGCACACGAGAGCACACGAGCCCTGCGGCGGTACGAAGGCTGGAAAGGAAAGGAAACGACAATTACGAGGACATGCCGGCTTGTTGGTCCTGCCGTCTAGTCAGTCGCTGCCGTGCAATCGTCGGGTCAACACGCGGATATCGTTCGCTCGAGTCAAGAACTGAATGCTCCGAACTGTGAGCTGCGAGTCGGGAGCTGAGCTGGAACCACATCTGCAGATTCCTTTCGCCTGCATTCGTAATTTTGTTTCAGCGGTTATCTAGGATGAATCTGTGCGACTTCGTATACGTATACTGAATGTATCCTGAGTGTATCCTATCCGGTATACCTTCAGTATACGTAACACGAGGAAACACCAGCAACGCGGGATGTGTCGAACTGAATTCACTGTGTTTTATTCTTGCACTTTGTAACACTTTCTCTTAGCCTCGCTTTAATGCACTTTTCACTCTGTAATCGAATTAAATAAACTGAATAAATATCACTTAAAAAAAAACAAATACCCATAATCGGGTTTTTATTCATTCGGATCGGATGGGTTGGGGTCCTTCTCTTCGCTTCGGTATTGGGAAGCTTCCCCATCGCTCAACCTGTTGCTGTCGATGGCCAGATGGGCGAACAGCTGACTTGAACTTTGCTCCGCAATTATGCAACAATGTTCTTCCGACGAGGAGTGAACTGTCTGGGATGGAATCGATGATTTATGCGAGGTTTAGTTTTGGGAACTAGCTCCAAAGATAACAAACACATTTGTGTTTCGTCTCACGTACATATGTATTTGCAAAGATTTCAGTTCATTTATGCAGCGAAATTATGAACTTATTAATGTAATTAAAAGGCCATTAAACACAATAATTCAATAAATTTGCGAGACAACGAAAATGGAATGCCTGTAAATTAAATTCTATGTGTGTATATATACCATTAAACATATGTTGATGGCCTCATTATAGCCGCATATTTCAACAGAATAAATAACTTAGCTTAAATTTAGCAAATTGTCAAAGAAATTTCAAGTTCATCGGGATGCTCGTAAATAAAGCTAAGATTAATATCGCAAATAGAAATAAACAAATACAGAATGAAAGAAAACATTTTTATCCAGTTTTGCTTAATTATTCGTTTCTGGCTGTCTGTTATAGCTAATATTAAACTATTTTGATGCCACCATGAGGATGGGTGCTTCGCACAATCTGCAATGGCCTATTCCACAGGGTATCCTCACACGAGGAGCAATGAACTCGCGATGTGCCGCCCGCGATTAGCTCTCGTACTATGGTGCATATTATTATTATTATTTTTTATATTAAATACATCTAGTACATACATATGTATATCTTTTTGTGGCATTTCACCAAACGACAACAACGGCCGGCAGCTGTAAGCTGGAGGGCGCCACCTATTGCACGAAAGGCGCAGCCTGCTATTCGATTATTTGGCGCGAACAATCATATTCGAACTCCGAAGAAGGGCGGGAAGCAACGAACGAAGTTCTTATAAGAAAAGGAGTTGCAGTATCTTTGCTATTAATTAATAAATAATTTGCAGAGCAATGAACAATAAAGTAATGGCAAATGATTGCCCCGAATCAGATCGAGTAATCACAATCAGATACATGTGTTTGTCTGTTTGCTTGTGTGTATGTATCTGCAAATAATTTCTCTCCTCTTCTCGTTGTCCGTCAAGCCAATGAACCTCAGCTGGTTGGCAACGGGCGCAGCGCTGGAGCATACAAAGTATTTCAGTCTCATATTCAGATACCCGTCTCGGCAGCTATGGCTATGGCCAAAGGGGAGGGAGGGGAACAGACAACACAACCGCAGAGATAACGAAACCAAAACGAAACTCGCTCGACAACAACAAGTAAAGTGAATTTATGAGCATGCCCAGCCATGATGGCCGCACCGAAGGAGCGCAAAGCGGAGACCGAGAGCATTTAATTCGGCCATATTTGATTTTGGAAATGCTGTCATTGCTGTGGTTGTTCCTGTTCTTCTTGTGTGCTGCTCTGCTCTGCACGTTTTTCGGGGTGGTTTTGCTCGCCCGCTGTGCGGCTGCTCCGCATCTCTGGGCGTTTGCCGGGCCGGCTTTCTCCTTCTCCGAGCGTGAACGTATCTGTATCCATTGTTGATTCCGCCGGCCTTTCGCTACTCTATTCGCATCGACTGTAGCTGTTCTAGCGGCTGAGCCATTCCATTGTGGCATGGCTTTAACCTTTGGTGTAATTTCTTGGCTCATAGCTCGCACGGAACAGTGGGGATGGCGGAACTTAATGCCCGCCTGGCTTCCGAGGCACAATCATGGCATGTTAATCTCTTATTAATTTTACGGTTTCGCTATTGGGGAACTGTGTGCTAAACACGTCTTTAAAAACAAATAAATCAATTTCATGTCCCCTTCAGAGTCCTACTGTATTGTCAGACTCGCCTTTCAATACATTAGCAGTGTATCAGCAGGTATACTATTCCCATGAATATATTAATATGCAACGAGAGGCTTATGCGCCTAAATGGCCATCGATTAACAATAAAATTGCCGATTTACGATTGCGCCTATAAAATCTTGATTCGCTGGAGCTGGAGTCGAATCGGTCGCACGTAACCGCTGAGTAGCAGCCAAGTGGGTTGGTGGTTGGCTAGGGGGTTAGACTGGGGCCTGCGACTCCGTGGACGCACTATTTTATCTACATATGTATATATTATATGTATATCGCTCGAGGAATTTATGGGAGAGTCAAAACATGTCGAAAATTGATTTACGACTTGTGTACGGCTTGAAATCGCTAACGAGGCAATAGGGAATATTCTCTTAATATTGAAAAATATATTTCCATGCTGGTAAATAAATTAAAAATTAAAAATCAATTATTCAATATTTAGTTTATTTAAGTAAGCATTATCTAAAAATAAAAATTTTTTAATCTGTATTTAACTAGCGATTTGTATAGCACAAGTAACTTTCAAGTACCGAGAGCGAGCAGTGGAGAGAGCCGTTCGAACTACTTATTATGCTTTTCGGTGTAGTTGTATTGTCTTACCCTTACCTTGTATACCTGTACCCTCGTCGTGCGACCATCCCCTATATAAATATCTCCAAGAAATGTGTGTGTTTCCCATTTTACACTCTCTCACCCTGCCTCCTCTTTCTCCACCACACTTCTATGTTTCGTTTCTATCGCTTCTAAGTTGTACGATACAGCGGACCAATTTTCATTAAACAATACTGAGTTATTTCGGAACTAAGCAACACAAAAATGAGCAATTGGTTGAACTATCTTCGGAATCGAATTGTGTTCTCACAATTCAAAATACGAGACCCCTGCTGCGGATGGTCGTTCTTAGTGGGAGACTTTGTTGGAAAAACTAAGCTGTTCGTTGAGTTGATCTGCGGCTTAGTCAGGCGGTCAGTTAGTCGGGGACACAAGGATGCCTGTTATTAATTAATAAATAAAATGCACAGATGCATAGTAAAAGCCAAGCTAAATCTATCTATGCCCACTGTCTACTATACTATAATGCTGATTATGCCGATAATATTTAAGGGACAGGCCACATAGGTTTGGGTCTTTACGACGCTGCTCAAACCTTGAGGAGGGGCCATAAAAGTTTGACTGGTTCCCAGCCAAGCGGATGCATGCGAATGCAGGGGACTGCGAGTATGAGTGCAGATAATAAAATGATTACTTATCGACTGATGGATCAATTGCTATCACTTACGAGAGAGTCCAGAGTCCCGTCTGCGGTCCCTCGAAGAGCTGCAAGGAAACGGAAGAGAGCGAGTGCCATTAAAAATCTTTGCAAGGCACTAAACTTGAGTGAATCTTCAATTACTACTCGTGCGAGTACTCTCTCTCATGCATTTGCAGTTGTGCTGTGCCCGATTTGCGCCTCTCGACTTTGGACACTGATAAGGCGCAATGAACTCCGCGAGACTGACATGTGGGACGGGGGAGACCGCTCGGGCCAGGCCAATTGGTAGGGAGAAGGAGGCGTTGGCATCAATTTCAATAACGCTAGGGACGAGATTTTTAGGCTGAGCAACGTGGGTCGGGCGGGGGCGAGTGCCAGGCAGAATCATGACAGACAAGTCTGGTGCCTGTCGGTGGGGGAGGGAGGGGAGCATCCGTAATTTATGCATTCTTTGTTCTGTCTGTCGTGGCACTCACTCATGATATTTACTTTTAAAAAAACAACAGAAATATATTGTATAAACAATCCAAACGTGCACTTGGCATGGCAGACATCACTGGCCTGGCACTGGGTCTTGGAATGGGATTGGGTCTGGGTCTGGCATTGCGATCGCCACTGACCACAGCAAAGTATTCCGAATATGTAAATGCATTTGCACATCGGGGGACAGCGGACTCCGGGCCATAAGACATTGGAAACGGCAATAAATTGAAGACCAGTGACAGTTGTCATTTCGAAATTCTCTGAGACACGATACGGACTCAACTCTGGTCCTGAGTTCGGCCGTGTGTGTGTGGGTAGGATGTGCCATTAGCTGCCATTCCTGCTCGTAGGGCTCCCATATAGCAGCATGTGTGTGTGCGTGTGTGTTTCAATCTAAGAATAAACAAAGGCACACGTCACGGTGTTTGTTGCAACAAAATAAACCGGGGAGTACCGCGGTCGGGCTTATTTTCTGCGACCTCGAAATCATAATTCAGCATTTTATGGCTTTTTAAGTGCCATTAAGTCAACTCTTTTCCTCAACAGGCCTCGCCCGCGGCGTTTTCCGAGGACGAGCCACTTTCGTTTTTCCTTGAACATTTTCTGCCGGCAATTAAATATTTTGTAGTTGCAACTCTTTGACGTAGCAGAACGGAACCAAACGGAATGGCTCGAGACCCGACCATCCCAAGCGATTTGGATTTTTTAGATTTTCACTCTATTTGCGGTGCTGCGCCCACACATACAAACGTACAAACATACAGATAGACCAACATGTACGAGTATATACATCAGCAGCACACCCAAGCGCGACCCAGGGTGCTAGAGAGCGGGCAGGGGCAGTGGCAGTGGCATGGGCATCCATTAAAACTGCTTTATGATCTCTAAAAACGAAAGCGAGAGTTCCGCACAGTTCCGGAGGGCATGGCAGGGCGGGGTGGGCAGGGCAGTGAGGAAAACATGTGTAAGAGTTTCCTTGCTGCTCTTCATTTTCATTTTGCTTTCCTTCACGAATACGAATACGCAGCGGAAGGATTAATGTTTTAATGGGGCACTTTTCTGGCTGTTTGCTGAATTTTGCAACAAATTGTTTTATGACCCCCACGGCAGCGCGACCTAAAATTAGAGGAGAGCTACGGGGCAATCTGGTGCTGAAAGCCAAAACACTTGCAGATATTATTGAATGGCGCAATACTGGAAAGGATGGAACTGGTTTCCACAGATTAAGCTAAAAAGAAACAAACATTTTGGTTCAATCTAAGAATGGAGAGCATTCGGAGGGAATGCCGCAGACTGCTTGGAGATTTCAAATCAAGTTTAAGGTATGTTAAAGTACTCACACAATAAACACACAATCTGACACGAAGATTGTATTATGAACAATGTGATTCTGAAATGTATCATTTCTTAGGTGCTTAAATGTGTTGAGCAATCGGTCGGAGACTTTTTTTTAATTTTGGCACGGTCTGGTTATCGGGTTTAAATTCATATAAAATTAGTTTTATATTGTAAGTGAAGTTAATATTAACAAAATAATAATAATAAATGCTATTAATTTACTCTGCAGCTATCGATCGCTCTAATTTCCATTTTAATCTATATAGAATCGTGGATATTGTTTCATTAGGCAACTTTAGTAGGACAGATATCTAACAATTGTCTATTGAGTCCCCACCATCTGCCAAAGTGTGAGATGGGTTTTGTTTATGCCTAAAATCAATATTTTAAAACCATCTTTGGCCCTCCCCAGGCATTCTCATTAGCCAAGAGATTTTAATGCTAATTCTGCTGTTTCTATGCGCCATTGTTTCTGTGAAGCAGGAAAAACAGGGAACAAAAGACAAAAGGAATTGCCAAATATCACACGGAATCAATGACACCCCGCGCTTCGTTTCACCTGTGCCCAGCATTTGATAAGAGCAGCACAAGCCACGCCCATCGCTGAATACTTTCCCCCTTCCTTTTCGGATTCCCCCAGTGATGGCGAACGGCTGCCATTTATACGTGCGAGTGTGTGCGGTTCGAAAGCGGCTAAAGTAAACATTTAATTGCGCCATTAATTGCGCGGTAAGTGTGCCAGATGCACATGCTCGCCCTGGGGAGGGATCCGATCCACAGAACCGCAGATGCAGGGGCAGTAGCCAGGCGAAGAGGCAGTGAGTTGCACGGGGGGGAGCACTGCCTTGTGGCCAGAGAAAACAAACAAATTCCTCTGGTTAAGTGCCCAGCGGTGCACTCGACAACCACCAGAAGAGTCTCAGCACCCCACTACGAGATGCTCCCCAGGCCCCAGGCCCCAGGCCCCAGCCCGCTGACTTCCATTAAGGCGCTCCGGGCTCGTTCTCCTCCCCTCCCGGCTCCCCGCTTTCTCCAGTCCGGATCTTTCTTTCGCTCCGCTCTTTCTCTCCTGCCGAGGCTGTCTCTGTCGCTAGCCCTGGTTCCACCTTGCAGCCGAGTGGAGTCGCTCGGCAACTTCTGGCGCATTAACTTTGTGTGTTTAATGCGGAGAATTATTGCCGATACAATCGACTTTTTACGACGCTTAAGTTGACAGTTTTCTGCGGATGTTCCTGCATTATTGTTTGCTCCGCTGCCCGATCTTCTCATCCCTCTTCTTGGCCTTGCTGGTCGATGCTCCTAACCGTCCAAGCGGGGAATTCATTTCAATATTGTTTTATAACTACAATCCGATTCAATAAATGATCTCTTTCATCAGCTGAAATGGTTTAGAGAAAATCCCCCAAAAGGCGGGAGAACACAGTTTTCTATGTCCAATGTCCAGCTCATTCCGGAATTAGCCATAGCAAAATGGATAAGATTCATCCATTATGGGATTCTACTGAGTGATTATCTGAGTTTTCGTGTGACATAAATTGGCTTAATTTTGCAAGCGAATATTTTACAGTAATTGAACATGGATTTTCGCATTGTTGCTGACATATTTTCTGGCAACAATTCAAAAGATGGCCACCAAAGGTCCTTCGGTTCCTTCATTTCTGTTAAGGTATTGAAAATATTATAGCTTATTCTGTAAGTATTTTGGATATATATAAATTATAAGCAACATAAATATTTACAGTGATGTTAAAATTATTACAAAAGTGAATTATTTAAGTTTTTAACGAACGCATCGCACCTAACTGAGTATAAAATACACTCCCATGGCCTATCGCCACTGAAACGGCTAAGTAGCTCGTGGTTAATTGGCTTTCATGGAAATATAAATGCGAAACTCGCATGTGTATGGAGCAGGTGTAAGGCCTTAAAAATGTTTGTACGTTCGTTATTCATGTGGGGAGCATTTCCGATTAAAACGAAGTCGATTTGCCAAAAAATTTAAAGGAAAGAGGAGACGGGAAAGCAGGGAAGTCCAGGGCCAAGCTGCCGCACGGCGCGCCGCTTGTTGCCATTAACTTAATCGAATGGAAAACCAAACAAAAGCCGCAATTAACATTAAGCCCTTCAAAAGGGCAGGCAGGTCGTCAGGCTGGCTTGGACCCGCCACAGAGTCCGGTTCTCAGCAATGCCCAGCCTGCGCCTGCGTTACTCCGCCCGAAAACCTGCGCGGCACGGCCCATGGGAATTTATTCCACATGAGTTTGTGTGTGAGTGCGAGAGTGAATGTGAATGTGCTCCTGTTTGCCAATTTAAAATTCTGTAGCATAAGCACACGCACTCTCCTTCCCCTCCGCTTTCCATCCACCGACCGACCCATCCCGCAGCGGAGTACGAGAAGAGCAACATTAAATTTTAGAAAACACAAAATGCCGCTTTTCGTGTTGCTTCGCAAACAATTTCCCATAAATTTACGTTGAAATACAACCAACAATATGTACAAATGCACCAAGGGGGACTGGGTATGGGAATGGGACTGGGAGTGTCAGGAGTGCCAGGAGGGGGACATGAGTGGGGAGTATGCCAAAAGTTGTGCCTGGGTTGGGTTGAGTTGGGTGTTTCTCCATTTTTTGGCAAGCACGAAAATGTATTCCAGACACGCATCGGGCCATTTTGCAAACGTGCCACCGAATGAGGCTCAGCCTGGTCCCCTGCCCCACTCGCTCTGCCCTTGTCATCCCATCCGAGCAAACACACAACCGCAATGACATCCGCCCCCGCAGTCAGGAGGAGGACCCTGGACCGTGGACTCTTCGAAGAACTTTCCGGCTGACTTTGCTTTTATTTTCCCTCCCCATCACCGGATAGGTCTCCGCCAGCATCAAATCACGAACGGAAAGAAGGACAAACTTTCTTTTTTTGCGAAAATAAGTAAAGTTTGAATTTGGCAGACAAAATTACTTCCAGGGAGCTGGGGAGCTGCAGATCGGGCAGCAGCGGACTCATTGCCTCCCCTAAGACCCCAACATAGTTTTCCATGTGTTTTCCTTCTTTTCAACATTTTATAATCGCACCCGTCGCCCGTTGAATATATGAAATAAATAAATAATAAAATACACTCGGGATGCTCGGGAGCGGGAAATAGGGATGCCATTTGCCAGCGCCATTTGCCTGCCTCCCGTTTCATTTACCCTGCCCCGCTCCCAACGAGCTCGCAAAAAGTTTTTCCTGTTATTGAAGTTGTTGT